CACACATTCCTCTCAGCCCCTCAAAGGACCACTGAGTCCGTCTGTACCCACGGGGACAATAGAGCCGGAATGAGCACTCCGTGGGGAGCTGCGGCAGCCAGTTTCCACAATGTAACAGGGTTTTCTGTGCAGCCGGAGGACATTGTGTTTCAGTGTGGGGCCCAGCTGGCCTATCTGCTAACACCAGCTCACAATGAGCCTGTAGTCAATGGACTGGAAACCCTAGCTGCTGTATCTGGGACAGCCAGAGCTGGTGTGTGTGCATGTGTGCGTGTGTCATTATGAAAGCGTGCACAAGCGTGTGTGGGAAGTCAATGGCCCCGTCTCTTGGGGCATTCTTCCAACCAGGAAATGAGATGGGAAAGTTTTTCTAAGAAGGTAGTTTCCTATGCTAATGTTTTAATAGAAATTGGACAAATTAGGTGTCACAGTTTTCTTCTAGCCTTTGCTTTACTGTCCTCAGAAGCAAGTTTGGACAATATTCTTTTAGGTCTAAAGTGCATTGTCTTGTAATTACTGTTTATTCTGGGTGACCTTTTGTGCTGCACTCGTCCTGTTATTTTCTGCAGTTATGTGCCAACCCTTTCACCAAGTCAGACTTATGCAGGTGTGATTTTTGCACTTCACTGGGAGTTCAGTTCAGTTTTCTCCTATCTATGAATGCGGCAAGTCTGAACTGAGACTGAAGTCACGATACAAACGCCTGTATTATCATATCATAGTTTCATTGTGATTGCCATATGAAGCTGTTAATGACTAGTTAAAGGAACCCAGTCTGTAAGAAGCTGTAATGTTTGAAGGTTGTTTGGGTAATGGGTGAACTGTAAATATATACAGAAACCATGCAGTTTATATTTTCTTCATGATCTAATAATGACTACATGATCGAGCCTTAGCTTAAAACAATCCTCATTCTTTCGTTATTATCTCCTCTAAAGAAATAAAAAACCCTTCCTTAATTAAGGCCTTCTTCCCAAGGTTCGGTTTTTTTTGCCGGCCTTTACTTGTTTTTTTTTTTTCCTTATTAAACCGGCTGCAGAATAAGTTGATTAGCTGATTGCCTCTTATTGTATTCTGTAACATTTCCCATTTCCAGCCTCCATTGTGCCATTTTGCAGCTTTTCTTTGTGTTATGTAACAATAGAATTTATTAGCCTTTGACTACTGACTGCTGGACAGACTAAACAGGTTATTTGATAATGACTGCTTTTGTTGTGGATAACGGGATTTTTTCCCACACACTTCTGATATTTCATATGTAAAAAGTTGAATCATTTCACTACGAATATTTTTGGAAGGTTAAATTATTAATATTTTAAACGTTGCTATTGATACACATCAAAATCTAAGAAAATCACATGAAAGTGACATTGCTATAAATATTAGGCTGATTATTGCTCAGTAAAAAATGTGGATGAACTGACTGTGGATGTCTGTATGAACCTCTATGAGTGTGCTTGTGTTTTGCTATAATCTGTCACCTCACTCCAGCAATCGTGTCACAGAGTTGTGGCTTTTCGTTCACAGCATGTCTGCGTCAGGATCTGTGTGTGCTGAGAGCGTGTGCAACTGATGTGGGGTTCAGGCCTTCTCCACTCAAGCTGGGTGAACATGTAACTGTGACCTGAGATCAATATGCAATCTAACCACCCCCTGGGGCTTGGTGGTGTGTGATATACACACAGTATAGCACTGTGCCAGACTACCATCTGTCAATACAGGGGGAAAAAACACAAACACTTTATATAATCGGCCTCCTTTGACCAGTGGTGGAGTGAGCCCAGGGGTACATCATAAGCACTTCCGCAATGCTAATATATGATGATGACTAGAGGCTATTTCCACTGGCCTACAAACAGGAAATATCAGTTGTTCCCCTGTGAATTGTATAGGTGTTTCCCTTCTATACATAAACTGTGTCAGGCACTCGGTACAGAGAGCGTACTGTGTGACTTACATGTTGGTGTTGGCGGTGGAGGTGAGCCACTCTCCAGCCAGACCAATAATGTCTAGGCCAGAAGATAACTGGTTAAAGAAGCGTGGGTGACCTAAAGGGAGAAAAAAATAATACAAAATAAATATTAAAAAGTTCAATAATGGGTTTAAATTCAGTCATCATTTAGGTTTCATTTTGTATTTCCATGGCCAACCATAATAGCAAAGGGATCTGACAAAGCGCTGCTCAGTGGGCCATAACAGCTGTATGACAAGCATTTAGACTCTCACACACACACACACATATACACACAGTGACTGTGTGTAGACCTGGAGCCTGTATGCAGTCATGGATACATGTACACTGTGGTTATGGAGGTGCCTGCCTCACATAATAAACAGAGTAATAAAAAGAATTAACAATAAAAATGAAATAACAGCTGTGACAAAAGAAATGAAAGGTGTGTGGTTTCAGCACCGCCGACAGCTCCTCCAGCCCACAAACTAAAAAAACAGCCACAAAATGTTTTGAGAAGAAAGAGAGGGAGAGAAAAAAGTGCTACTGAGTTGTAGACACAGTCAGTGACTGCCTGATATATAAAACCCGAGGGACAGTTTGAGCGTTGTCGTTTTTAACAGCTTGAATCAGCCCGTGTTAGGATCCCCTCAGGCGACACATGCTTTAATAAGTCGGGGGGTGGAAGAAAGGGAGGATGTGAAGTGAATTACCAGGGGTACAATACATATGGCAGTCATCTAAATAGGCTGTGTACTCTGCGAGAAATGGCCCGTTCTCTAATAGTTTGTGTCACATTCAAAATCCACACACTGAACATGTGTGGATATTAACAGAGATGTAATGTCCTGCTTTATTACTATAATGTGTGTGGCAGTAATAAGGTGCAGGACTACATCTCTCACTGCTGTTTGCTTTCAATGCAAAAAATTAAAAGTTAATTGCATCTTCGCCCACATCACACATACCAATCTCCTCTGCCATCAAAAATAACACACACCTCCATGTGAGTTACCCAAGCACATATACAAAAAAAAAAAAAATACAAATCTTTCCCTGTTGAGGTAGGTTAATGTTTCCTCCACGATGAAGGTCGTCCCAAAGCCCTTACCTGTGCGGACGCCATATTTGAGCGTGTCTCTGCAGTCCACCAGGATCTGCTCCAGGGACTCGGGCTGGTCTGACAGCTCCAGGTTGAAGCCCTCGATCCCCTCCAGGAGCTGGTGAGGGTGGTGGAAATCCAAAACCTTTGTAGACCGGTCGAAAGTCTTCTTGACATAGTTGGTAAGGATGTCAACCACCTCCAGCAAAAACTGCATGGTGGGCTCTTCTCCATTTTTAGCCGGCAGTAGGTCTAAAAGAGGCGTGGGAAAAGTAGGGGAAATGAAGCCATTTGTGATTCTGGGAGCTAATATCTGAGCACGTCAATCGATTAGCTCATCTTTTGTAAAGCTAATGCACATTGTTTTTGAGTAAAATTCTAAAATTCTCTCCATTTTCCCCGCAGTTTCTCGGGCTACATTTCTGTGCTAGATCGAATAAAGACGGCTCCATAATTGGTCTTAGGTTTTGGCTAGCAGGCTTTAAGTTGTGAAATAGCCATCAAAACACACAAAAGACATTTCTCAGCAGACATTTTAACAGGAAAGAGTAGGCAAACACTTATGTTTAAGATGACATCAAAATAAATTCTGTTCTTTGAAAGGAAAGTATTTTATATTTAATCTAAGAAAAAAAATAGTGCTTTGTAATCTATTTATTCCGTCGCGTTGTCTTAATTTACTTTAAAAAAAAACTGATACGGACATGAAAATAGCACAAAATCACGCTTGCGCTAAATTAAGGTGTTAAAATCACTTTGTAAGTCACATTTCTGCCACCGGAATATCCAAGTATTTTAGTTCTGCAAGGCTTTTATAAAGCCTCGAGTTTAGCCTCCGAAAGCACGGTTTACATCACAATACATACATGAATAACCCAACCACAGTTTGGCCTCTCGTTCGTTCTGTTGATATTGGCCTAATATTTAATTTTCCTGTAAAGCTCACTGTCATTATCAAGCAAAAAGAGGACAAACGCAGAGATGGCAGACAGACAAGTGAAGACGCTCTTCTCTGTTTTATGTCAAGAAAGCGATGTTTAAAACGCCCGAGTTATAATAATAACAATAATAATGTTGGTGTTTTTTAAAGAAGATCTGGGATAGCGGAAGTGTGGTTTCCTCACCTCTCGCGAACAGGTTGGAGAAGTCGGTCTCGGTACGGCGGAAGCGCGCGTCCCTGTCGCTGTTATCGCACGAGAGCAAGTTCTTCTGGCCCGCGAGCCTCCCCTTCTCCTCCAGGCTGTTGTTCTTCTGCAGGAACCCTAAGGTGTTGCACGGCGAAGAGAAGGAGTTATCACCAAACATCTCCATCCCACTCATAAAAAAATAAAAAACAAAGAGAAAAGAAAAAGAAAAACGGCGAAATTAAAATATAACAGAAAATAAATTTTTAAAAAAAAAGCAAGAAAGAAAATTGAGATTTTTGTGAAATTTTTTAATCAGCCCATAAACAGCCGGAATACTTCAATCTGAAAAGCTTCTCTGTTGGAGGCCAAATTTATATAAGCTAAGTAGGAAAAGGAAGCACCCGTGGGTGCCCGCCTTATCCCGTGACATCACAGCCTCACCCCGTCAGGAAGCGCCCAGCCAGCTTGCCCCTCCCCTATAGGCGCAGACTGATTGCCTCGGTGCTCAGGACAGGCTGCCACACACAGCCAATAAATATACACCCTCCGAAGAGGGGTTAATGAAGGATGCAAAGTGCCCTGAAGCAGCGTGTCTCTACAGGGCCACCGTCAGATTTTATAAGCTTTTCGCATATATGTGCAGAATAATGCGTGGGCCTAATTGCGCGTCAAAAACACGGGGAAGCCACACGCTCTTTGTCGCTTAAATTAAAAATATATTTTCAGTGAAAATGTTCATTGCTCATTAATAAAGCGTATGAATAATTAGTGGCCACTGCGCGGGGTTAAAACGTCATTTAACTAATGAAAATCCGATGATCACTTACTAAAAAAACAAAAACAAACAAAACAATGTCAGACTTTCTCAGACTTGTGCTGCAGTAAAGCGGTCAATAATGCGCCTTTTGAATGGGTAGAGCTTTACGTGACACTGAATTCAACTTGCGTGACTGCAAATAAATAAACATCCACACTTTCCATCGTGTGAGCCTCTGAAAGAAGCAGATTCCTTTAAGTGATGGAGAAAATAAACGTCACATCCACCCCCTCCACTGTAACAAAAAAGAAAATAGAAAAAAAAAGGGGGGGGGGGCATTAGAGACACTGACAGTAAGCCTGAGAAAAGTGACTCAAGAAATAACCGGATGTGATAGGAAAAGCAAATCGTTACGAGTTATTTTAAGGCACGTTCTGCTTTCTGTTTCCAGGCTTGCCCCGGAGATTTTTCTATTGGTGCTGAAATGGGAAAGACAGGGGAGGGTGCAAGGAGGGGCGGGGGGCCTGATCCGGGGCTCTCCTCAGCAGACCTACAGGCTAATGTCCAGTGACCTTTGGAAGATGGAAACGCACACTGACAGTGTGGAGGACGGCCCCGCTCTATCAACCTGTAATGTGGCCTATATTTCTGAGGGCCTCGAAATGAGTAAGATCATAATAAATCGTAAAAGAAAATGTGAACCGGTCAGAAGGAAAAAAAAAAAGGAAGGAAAGCAGTCATAACGGAATTCAATATCGAGAACCATGGTATGTCAAAAAATCTTTAAAAAAATGTATTTCTTTATTTCATTTTCTTAAATAACATCTTCAAGATTAAACCATTTTTTTCGTGGCGAAACAAAACTTACCGCAAATCTTCATCCCCAGTTTCCTTGTGCATCCGTGCATCCACGCGTATTCGTTGGCTAAAACAAAATGAACGTTTGAGTTTCTGAGCGTGGAGACCGCGAGCAAATGTGGTGAGGCGGGTGATGGAGCACAGCGTGCACATGGAACAAAAAATAAATAAATGGAAGCGTGAAGGAGCGACTCTTGGCCAGGTGTGCGACTGTGGGGTGTTTGGGTATAGTCATATTTTCTGTAAAGAATTGCACGGACTGTTTTGCTTTGTTGAACTCGGATTTAGCCTCCTTACACCCCCTCTGATCACAAGAGGGGGGGATGAGTCTGCTAACACTTCCGATTTGAGTTCAATCAATAGGGACCGACAGTGACCCGCACGGCAAATCCACGCCGGCTCACACACCCAGCCAAAGGGCGGACTGGAATTAACACCCGTGAAATGAGCTCACGGAGGAGGGCAGAAATTAATTGAGTGGATCGCAGTATGTGAGTGGAGCGAGCTGGTAATGTCTCTGGTCTGGAAGTACAGTAGGCGCTTGAAGCACAAACTTGGAGCGTAGTGCGTCGACGTACACACACACACACACGCCCATGCATATACACTTAGTGCCACACACATGCACACACAAACCGGAGCGTGGACACGCGTGAGCTGAGATGGAGAAGAAAGCCTCAGGGAACAAGATGCAGAGCGCTCGGCGCAAAAAGTGAGAAGCGACGAGGCGAATGTACCTGATGTAGAACTTGCGAAAACAAAAAAACAAGCATTTAAATTTACTGAAGCAATCTCATTCCGACAAAAAACAGCCCTAGGTGCGGAGGCCGAGGCATAAAAACACACATACACGGACACACACACAGACGCGCGCGCACGCAAAGCCGCCAGGCGTGAGATGGAGCGTGGCAGAGAGATAATGGCAACATCCAGCAGCAGCAGTACGCGAGCAAACAGACAAAACAAACATCCTAGTTTAAAAGGACATTTTCTTGGTTTAAATTTCCATGAAAGAAAAAGTCTGAATATTTTTTTATATGTTTATTGGCACTCAAGGGCCACAAATAAAAGATTTCGAAATTTTGTATCCGGTAACGAGGAAGGGAAAATAAAGCATGTATTTGCACACTGGACAAAAGGAGCTGCAGGCTATCCCTGTAACGTTTTTCTGAAAAAACAAAACAAAACAAAAACTGCAATTATTTCCCTGCTTTGGACTGCAGATGGCTGCTCAAGTGTGCTCTAATGGAGTCAATTTTGTGTATGCGACAAAGGCTCGACGTGATTAATTAACCCACAGGTTAATGCACAGGTTTAGATTTTTCTTTTTCTTTTTAAAAAAGGAAGCGAATAAAAAGCATGCCTAAACTATGAGAATTATTACAGACAATTCTTATATCAAATTTTTTTGCTTTATCAAGACGAAAGGTGCACAGGATCAAATCTTCAAATCTTCACGTTTTTATTTTGGGTTGAAACTCATATTTTGAATAGAACACGTTCAGGAAAAACGCTCCGAGATCGTTAGAAATGCCAACGCTTTAATGGCGCATTATTTCTGCCAGGTCCGCCGCTCGGCGCGCACCGCTGGTCCGCCAGACAGCGACAGGCAGCTGTGATGGCTCTGTTTTTAACCGGAATGATTAACGACGGAGCCCACACAGCAAATGGCCCGGGCTACACTCTCCTTTATCAGACAGGGAAGGAGGGGAGAGAGACAGAGAGGGAGAGAGAGAAGCAGACAGAGGCGCGTGGAGGGTGAACCTGGGTTTAAACCGCTGTGCTGGCAATAGATCGCGCTGCAGAAGTGTCTTTGAGCAAGGCACCGAGTGGCTTTCACCACAGCCCGAGCGCTCTGAAGACTGAAAACCATAAACACAATTTAGCCTCGGGGAGCCGAAGCCAAAGTGTTGTTAACAGGGAGAGGAGTGTAGGGACCTACTTGTGGTCGGAGGTCTTAAATTAGCTGAGTTGGGGTCTTGTTCCCCGCCGGCGGCTCTCGGCTCAGACGTAGCCATCAGTCCTGTGTTACTTTGGTTTCCGGGTGCGGGAATTATTCAGCTGCAAACAAAACGACTCAATGTTAGGAGAGACTGCGTGTCGGATTTCCGATAACTGCGTGCAGTTTAAACGGCAGGCCGAGATTTTGATCAGAAAACGCACGGATTTTGCTCCGTGCGTCACCAGGAGCGCTTCATTCTCCCTTAAACGGCTGAAGCCGCGCAATTTGGAGTGAGTTGCGCACAATGCGCAACCAAGACGCACATCGCAATACTTTGGGGGATAAAATGGCTGCATGGGTATAGGTTTTATTTAGAGACACTCTTCGGATTGTGTTGCTTTCAGTCAGCTGTTAACTAACCCAGCGCTGCTGCATGACACAGGTTTACAGATTTGTTTTTTGTTTTTAAGTTGGGAACTAGCAAAAGAAACATGGCTCGTTCTTGCAGTAAGTTCTTGTGGATCGTTAAAACCAAATCATCGTTTAATTTAAAAAGAAAAAAAATGTTTTGTTTTATAACAGATGACATTTTAAACGACCAAAACCAAAATATTAAAGAAAGAACAGGTAAGGCCCGCGTTTCCCATCGCATAAAATCACCGAGATGATCAGAAAATCAGAATAAAACGAATGCATTAAAATGATACTTCACAGGCAGCAAATATTGATAAAACGAGGTGACAGTGTCCACATAAATAACCGTTCCCCATTCATGTGTTGACTCAGTAATCGACATTTCAATTAAGATATGCTTTGAACACCACCCTTACTACAATGTCATCACGAGACAGAGAGGCAGCGAGAGAGGGAGAGAGAGAGAGAGAGAGAGGCTGAACAACTAATAAATTCGTTTTGTCTCCCGTCTGGGAATGATTTATGTGAGAATTCTATTATTATTATTATTATTATTATTATTATTATTATTGTTTAATTTATGCTCTGATATTTTGTCCTCCAAAGCTGATCGCACGATATCAGCGGCTGAAAAGTGGAGTGGTTTAAGCATCTTCCCCCCAACCTCTGTCTCTGAAGAAACAGACACGAAGGGTGCAGCTGGAGAAGAAAAGAAGGGATCTTACCGGCTCACGGGGCGCACAGGTTGTCGAGTCCAGACAAAGTACAACTTAAATGTTACAACTGCCACCCGAAGGCGCGACAAGAAACAGTCCAGTGGTGGCGATGGCGGAATATCAACAGAGCGCACTGATAAAATCCCATCCGGCGGCGCGCAAGTGACCCTTTCTCACTCAAGAATATTTTTATTCGTTATTTATATCTGAGGATCCGGCTGCCCATTGGTCTCTTCACGCAGGCATGAGTCACAGCCTTGCCTCCCACCCTGACGGCTAATGAAGCTTCCCTGAGTGCTACTGACAGCTACAATCCACTTTAAGGAACCAAACAAGCAAAAGGAAAAATACCGATGACGTTTACCCGCCCCTGTGTGCGTATATGTGTGTGTGGGCGAGCTCTTGTGTCTCCAGGTGTGGGTGGGTGTCACAGGGATGAGGGTGGAGACTTGAATGTAAATTTGGTTACATAGAAATTGACCTTGGAATGAAACTGCACAGCTGGGCTTTTAAATACCAACAGATACATATTCAGGACATCCGGTCCATCTCCTCATATCTGTTGATTGATTGGGTTTTGGGGACCTGTGGAAGCTGTTAGGTCATTTATTCCAGAATGGACACATGTATTATAAAGCGAGCAGGACAAGCCATCCAGGAGCCATCCATCCATGCAAGCACTGTCTGTAATATTCACCTTCATGAGATGAAAACATTACCTACATCATAATTTCTGACCTACTCACTGCTTTAACCTCGCCACGGACAATAACGCCGAGACTTCAAAGCATGGCGGGCGCTGGCTTAGTGTCTTTTCTGTCATCCTCACGCCTGCCTCTGGATCCAGTGCACAGGCAGGGACCGGCCATTATGTTCATTCAGCCGCTGCAATTTATTCAGCCTTTATCAGGAGCCAATCATATCTTTCTACACTCACAAGTGACATGTGGAGATGCATAAAGATAAACTCAGACTGATGGCATTCAACAAGGAGGCTTAGCTGCTGGGATTTACATCTGCACTAAAACAGGGCACATAAAAGGTCTTCACTGCTTATGAGTTTACATAGGCTAACATTTTATTTGTGCTAATTTAATTGCCACCATAACAAAAGACTGGAGAGTGGACCAGATGGACTCCAGAATCAGTTCTTTTGTTTGGGTCACGTTACAGCTCTCATCCACAGTGAAAACTGAAAAACAAAACAAGTAAGAAATCATGACTTTGGTCTCTCTTGTTTCATGCACAAATTTGTGAAATTTACATACTCCTTATACCACATCTTTTCCCTGTCATGCAGCATCGCTTATCATCTTCACAGAGAGAGAGCTGATGTTTAAAGAATCCTGAAATCAAAGCCATGGGAGGATTCAGCAAACATGGTGGCAGACGTGCAAACTTCCAGGGGAAAGTGTTTTTTTGTTGAATTTCATGCAGTCTGAATGATGATACATAAACATGTTTTTGTATGTCCCGGTGACAGTTTAGATAATGTTTTAACATAACTGCTAGAGTCAGCATCAAAGGGTTGGCCAAGTTGGCTGCAGAGTGTCCAGATTGCTGCTAGGAGACCAATAGTTGGAGACTGCTGATGACACTTTAAGTGGTGATCAAACATAACCGCTTAGAAGATTTTTGACTTTTAAATATCTGTTATTATAACAAGAATGAGGAACACGAATGCAGCATTTACATATCATCAGATCTATAGGCCAAAACTCCTCAGCTGCTTCTTTGTGTTGAGCAGTTAGCTGCTAACTGTATGTGCTGTGTGTTCCTAGTGTTCAGTTTTAGCATGTCTGGTCATAAAACTGCAGGGTTGTATTTTCCAATGCATTTTTAGCATCAGTTCAAACACGTTAAGGTATTTTACATTTAATCACATAATGATTCTCAAAATGGATATGACTCTGATCGAGTGGATTCATTTACAGTCTCTTCTGCAGGTCAACGTGCAAATGTTTATCGGATTTATCAGGAAGCGTGTGTGGTGGTTTGTCCGTATATTTTCACGGCTGATCTATCAGCGATTTATCAGGTCACATTTTCAGGAAATGAGGGCATCCGCTCAGTCCACATGAGCTCCTTTAATTCCAGGTGAAAATATGAGAGAATATGTAACTGTCACTGTGTCTACACTGAAAAGACTGCAACTGTGGGCAGCAGCAGTGTGCCTTAAAATAAACACAATATATGTAACATAGTCCCTGCTAGACAGGTCGTACAGCTTTAAGGGTAAATGTGAACAGGAGGGCATGGCTTGTGTTTGTAAACATGGTTTTCCTTTTCATAATCATCACCATGATCATCATCATCTGAGGCTGATGAAGAGGAGCAAGATGAGCTATGAGAGGGGTCCTCATCACTTCCAGAATCAATGTCATCATCATCCTCATCACTTTCTTCCTCGTTGCTTTTCTCTGCGTGTCGCTCTGATGGAAAAATCAAACAACACCTTCGATGTTTAGTCTGTAACATGCAGCCTAAAGTGTTTGTACAAAGACAACTGTCACCTTCCAGCAGCTTCTTCTGGATCAATGGGAGGAACTCTGAGGCCTCAGGATTGTCTGGCTCGTAGATGAGAACTGGAGCGAGGAGAGAAGAGGCAGCATTGACTAACTTGATGGTTCGCTGACTTATTCATTGACCGACAGATAGATGTATAGCAGATACGTACTCATGTGACAGAGTTTAACAGCCAGCTGGAAGTATTTGTCCTTCAGAGCTCTGAGGAACTGAAAGTTAACATTTTCACTTTAAAGTTAAGCAAAAACATTTCAGACATGCAAAGAAAAAAGCACTCTGTGGACAGAGCATGAAGTGTGGACAAGCTGGACCAGTTGCATTGCTATACCTTCATTAAAAGCCCCACTGGAGCCTTAAGGTCTTCACACTTCACATTCACGTTCTCAGTCTGTTCTTTGTCCTCTTTAGCTTTATACACGAGGAGAGGTTCGGCTGGTGCGTGAGCATTTGTTGGTCCCCCTGACAATCATCACCATAATCACTTTTTAATGTTATTTCTTTTGCCTTCGTGCTTTGCATTTAATCCTGTACCCACCTGTTCCTTTCGAGCCTGAGGACTTTAACATCTCAGTGCCTTTCATTTCCAGCTGCTCCACAGGTGCTCAGCCAATCCTAAAATCACAGGTGATCTGTGTCAGAACTGTATCAGAGGCGTATCTCATTGGTCTGATCACTGGTTGGAAGAATTTCGATACTGTGTGGCTCTAGAGGTGGGCCACACACAAACTCAAAGAGCAGCTCAACATTATAAAACAATATGAATGCAGAGGACAAGTCTAAATAAAAACCAAATGCTGTCCAGAATAAAGGGCAACATTTACATATAGATGCTCAGGGGGTCTGTGTTGGTACTTGTTCGCGTACTGTAGGACAGACTTTGAAAGCAACAGCTTTCAAAGTCTGTCATCTTCACCGGGTGTAAATTCCCTTCACCACGTCCCATAGTTGCAGTCTAATTACTTATTTCATGTGTACTCTAACTGAGAGCAGAAACACCTCTTATCCTGTTCAACTTTACATAAATTAATAATAATGTTTGTTTTTTGTTGCCCAAAACAGGACATATATAGCAGCCTTTGAGAGTCTTGCTGCTTATGGTCTTCTTATAATAACTACCAGATGAGCGTTTTAATGTGATTACTCAGGAACTACCGTTTTTGTCATCTCACAAAATCAAAAAATGAAATACTGATGACAAGCAGAGGAACACGTGAAGCTAACGTTGTCATTAAAATCTTTTCACCATCCGGTTTGCAAGTTGCTTTAGCAGAAAGCAACATCCAGGTGAAGACACAACAAAAATACTAATTATAATTATTATACATCTTCTTAATAGGATGTGTAGGGCAGTGAAAAGACAAACTTGAAAAATGTGTGACCCACTTAGAGCAACGAGTGTCCTGCCCAACAACTGCATAGAATGAGCAGCAAGTGAACAACAGGCCTGCAATTCACAGAAACAGCAAACCTGTAGCTAGTAGAAGCAGACCGTCACGGACACCTGCTGTTGCACAAGATGTTTATCTGCTTTAAGTCTGAGGTCCTGTTCTGTGAATTTCTGACAGTTTCTTGCAGTGGAAGTTGACGGTTGTTACTTTAGCTGTCGGAGAAGGAGGTAAACAGCCGTTACTAAGCAACGGCGTAACGCCCACTCGCTGTGGCCTTCATTGTTGCCGGAAATTTGGACATTATATCAGAGACATGCCAAGCAGTTAATGATGATTTGAAATCTATGGAATGAATGAATGAATGGCACTCCAGCAAAGATCTATTAAAAATTCTCTAACATTTAGATGCGTGTTATTTATTTTATTTTGTATAGTTCTTTATTCTAATGTATATAGTATTTCATTCCTTATCTTATCTTATCTTATCTTATCTTATCTTATCTTATCTTATCTTATCTTATCTTATCTTATCTTATCTTATCTTATCTTATCTTATCTTATCTT